GCGTCGTGGTCTAGGGCAAAAACGAAAAGAAAGAGCAGCAGGGACACGTATCGATTCAACAAACCAAGGAAACCAACGCGTGGATCCACTGCTGGTGTCGTCCAGTCCAGAAGTCGAAGTTCGCGTGGACCAGTTCGAGACAAGTCAGACCGCTCCTCGATATGTCAGACACCGAGGAAACTGGTACGTACTATGCCCGATTCGTCTTCGAGAGTTGCTCGTAACGAGCTAGCAATCGTTCCGTGACTGAAACGTTAGCACGTGCCACACCGTCTATCTGCGTGATCGCACCTCTACACGAGAGTGGATCGTTCCGTGTATTAACCGAGGATCCTATGTCTCGACGTGGTTTCTCGATGGATCTTCTGTGATCCGTCAAGTCGATCGAATCCCTGACCCGGCGGGCAGCAGTCACGCGAGGATCAACGCGAGCTCGATGCTTATTGCACTCTGACATTTGGCAGGTGTTCCTCTTCGGAGACCAGCTCACGATATATAGTCCGCGAGATTCTATGCCAGAGGAACGATTTTTCGCTCGATTTTCCACCTACGAGCAACGCTTTTTCCTTTGTCACTCGAAACTGCCAAATCCTTTTCGCGTTCCACGCTATTATTACCGTTCTACTCGCCTCTCTGCTTCCTCTCTTGACCCAACTTCCGTTCTCCGCGCCACGAAATAACGAGCGACCGTAGAGGAAGGCAGAACGAAGTGGAAGCACAGTGGCGTCGAGTTTCTCTAATTTCCTTCGATTTGGATCACGATCCAGGAACAGGGACGAAGAATACAGCGATCGAGGAGAGGAGTTTTCTCTCTTTCTCTCGTAGCCGGAACTCTCGAGGACTCGGTATGAGTTCAGTGGTGCGTATTATAGTGTGTCCTTTCCCTCCTCATCTCCCAACCACCCTCGTCTTCCCCTTGATTGTTCCGTGCTTTTCTGTCCGGCCTCTTTGTCCCACTTTTAATTGCTCTTCCCAACCGTCAGCACCAGAGCGTCCTCAGACCTTTTTTCCCTCCAATTTCCCAGAAATTTTCTCTTCTTCTTTTTCCTCTCTTTGCCTCTGCTTCCACGGCCATAATCGCGGCGAGGCAACACGCCGCGGATATTTACCCGGGCAAATTGTAAAAAGCTTCCCGAAGGTGAAAGCTTGGCCCGTGGCGAATAAGGTGGCGCCGTTAAAGCCATGCTATCAATCGATACGGCTGGTCCAGTCTTTCGGACGAAAAATAGCTACCAACCAGCGAGGTCGAACGATCGTGAATTTTTAAAATTCTGAAAATTTTGAAAACGCGATTTCGTCGAATTCTCACTGTCTCTTCCTCTTCCTCTTCCTCCTCCGACAGGACAAGGAGCGAGTCATTGTCGGTCATTACCATTGACCGGTTACGGAAAGTTCACGTGATGGTATAGCGCGTTACCAGGTTCTGCGTCAATCGATGAATCATTGATGACAGAATTGCACAATCTTGCCGGAAAACCATTATAGTCCATAGGGTCTGCTTTAATCCCTCTTTTCCATCGCGCAGTCGGTGCCTTCGAGGCTATAGGCACGCAACTTTTAGCCAGTTAGATGTGTCATTTACGGGCATCGTACGGCCGACATGGAAATAGATATCGAGCAATCCTGATTTAGAAATCCACACGCGACACGCTATAAACTCTTCGAGCGAAGAACAATGTACAGTAGAGCGGAGGAGCCGAACGTCAGAACCCGAGACGTAGTTCATCGGAGACGTGACGTGTACTTTTCGATCCCTGCTTCTTTCTTCTTCGCGCAAACGACACGTGGATCTCTCCAAGACCTGGTATTCTCGCCCGACTGTCGCCTCGAATCGTTAATACGTGAGAAAGTACAGGTTCGGAGCACTCGGAGACCAGAGATACCCAGGGTAGTAGGCCCGGGAACGAAAGTTGGAAAGGTCATTTAGATCGGGCTCATCGTTCAACTTCCAATTGCAACGTTTCGTGACCAGAAGCAACAGCTCTTTCGTCTGCCACCTTCGTTCGTTCCCACGAGATCGTGGTGGGGCAGATCGGTTTTAAAATATCGGCGGCTGAATCCGCGAAGCGCTGAAAGTAAATTACCGGTGGACCCACCTCCTCTTCATTTAGATTTCGATCGACTAGTTTCTCGTGACCGCAAACGACTTTAGTAAATGCCCGCTGACGAGCCCGCGGGATTTCTGACGCGTGGCAGCCACGCGAATTCCCGCCAACCTGGCTCGGTTGAACCGCGCGAAATCACGAACCCGGCCAGCACAAGAGATTCCTCGCACGAGAACCGACACGAGAATTAGCCGTAACGTGCTGATCCAACGGCACGATCGGTGTTTCAGAGCTTATCCATGTAGGTGGTAACACCCACCGTAAAAGGTAGCTAAACCTAGAGGAAAGTCAGTCCGTTCCCGCGTCTTCTGCTTGGTGGATCACCGCGTTTCGTATTCGCAGATGGCTCACGGAGAGGGTCGAGATCCATTGGAGCACACCAGCCTCTATCAAAGAGCTGGTTCGATCGTTTTCTACTTATATTTCCAGTCGATTAATTCCTCTTCGTTTGCTACAATTGCAGTTGGATATTTGTGAAGGCAAAACGGAGGAGAGTTGAAAGAGAATTATGATTGCGCAGAGAGCGAGGACAGCGATACGGAAGGTGGCCTAGGCAACGTGAACAAGATGATAATGAGACCACCAGGACACAGCGGGAAGGCGAAGAAAGGACACATCTGCTTCGACGCCTCTTTTGAAACTGGCAATTTAGGCAGGGTGGACCTTATCTCGGAATTCGAGTACGATCTGTTCATCAGGCCTGACACCTGCAACCCGCGACTCCGTCTGTGGTTCAATTTCACCGTGGACAACGTGAAAGTGGACCAACGAGTGGTTTTCAATATAGTTAACATATCCAAGAGTGCGAATCTGTTTCGGGATGGCATGACGCCGCTGGTGAAGAGCAGCAGTAGATCAAAATGGCAACGGATTCCTAGGGACCAAGTGAGTGGTGGTCTCAAAGATCAGCGAAGCCTAACGACACCGACGTATTCCATAAAATCGTAACTTTCCTCTAGGTTTTCTACTACAGGTCCGCGCAACACCAAGGCCATTACGTTCTCAGCTTCGCCTTTTCCTTTGACCGCGAGGAAGACGTGTACCAATTTGCCCTGACGTATCCGTACTCGTACAGCCGCTACCTGGCACATCTGGACAACCTTTGCACCAAGCTGACATGCACAAAGAGAGAAACTTTAGCCACGTCGATACAGAAGAGGAAGATCGAGTTAGTCACGATAACTTCCAACTTGGACGACGCTCAAGACCGTCTGAGGAAGGTGGTGGTCATCCTTGCGAGGATACATCCAGGCGAGTCACCCTCTTCCTTCGTTTGCCAGGGTCTAATGGACTTTCTGGTCAGTGCCCACCCCATCGCCCAAGTTTTGAGGAGTTACGTCGTTTTCAAGATAGTACCGATGCTAAACCCTGACGGCGTGTTTCTTGGCAATTATAGGTAAATAGAATCCTCTGCCAATAAACGAGAAACAAACGCAGCGACAGAAAGCGACTCTTTTGTTGAAGATCCACCGTAATGGGGGCGGACTTGAACCGTTCGTGGAACAAGATCTCCGAATGGCTTCATCCAGCTCTGCTGGCGATTAAACCGATGCTGAAGAACCTCGACAAGAATTCTCGTACTCCGTTAGACTGCGTGCTGGACTTGCACGCTCACACCAACGCCACGGGGACTTTCGTTTATGGGAACACGTACGACGACGTGTACAGGTACCTCCAACCTGTTTTTACTCGTAACAAAAATTCCTCGATTGTTTCCATTTCCAAATGACACTATCTAACCAATGGCTGCCAGCCTCTCAGGTACGAGAGGCACATCGTGCTACCGAAGTTGCTGGCGCAACACGCCGAAGACTATGAAATAGGGAACACGATGTACAATCAGGATCCGCATAAAGCCGGGACCGCTCGTCGTTATCTCTGCTCCATTCTGAAGGAACACGTGAACTGCTACAGCATCGAGGTATCGATGTACGGTTACAATAGGAAAACGACACCTGGAATATTCCCGTACACCGAAGAAGGATGTATCCTTTGATATCTACCCCTTCGCGATCCGCGCGAGGAATACGTTTTAATCTCGCAGCTGAATTTTTCACGACTGCGATTCGGAATCCAGAATAGTCCATAAAAGTTGAAACGGCGGTGCCCGGGTATATTAACCCGGCGGATTCGGTCGAAACTGGGTAACCAACTAACTTTAGAGCGCCATAATCTTGGCAGAGGTAATGAATCATTCGGAAGACATGTCTTGTGAAAGCATTTCGAACCGAGCCGCTCTTAATCCGCTCGTTTATACCGTACTCGTCCTTGTTTCCCGAGGAAAATTAAGTAAAATCTTGCTGAATAATTTATACCCTAATCAATCGGAGCTAAAGCCTCGCATTAAACAGCTTAGGTGCCAATCGATCACCCGACGTCCGATATAGGCCTGCGAAACCGATGGACGATCTTGACTATCCAATTAAATCACAGATTACAGATTAGGCCGCAATCTGGCCCGTGTCTTCATGGAATATTACAAACTAATGGGCATCATCCCCATCGGTCTTCCCGATCAGCCAACCACTAAACGAACGCGACAGTCACGGCCAAGGTATCGAGTTCTTAGGGAACCTAGGCCGAAGACCTCGAGGAAACCAGCGCCTATACATCTCGCCAGTATTCACGAGTAATTACGATCATATCTACTTTCGTTATTTCACCCACTCGTTTACCAAATCGATTAACCCCGCGCGATGAAGAGTAGGCACTTGCTTGAACTATAAACAGGTAAATTACGATGAAATCCTTTGGTAACGAAATTCACGTAAACTTCCAAGGCAAATTTAATTTAAGTAATATATCAAATTGTAACGATGCAACGATGCAAATTAGCATGAAAAATCCACACCGTGTTGAACTCAGTGCGCCGCGAGGGGTTAATCACTTTCACTCGTGAACGTTTGATTTCTTAGAAAAATTCTTGGAGAATGTAGAAAACGATCTCTAAATCTCTTCTCGATTATTCAAATTATATCGAACGATGGCACAACCGATTCGATATATAATATCCTACGCGAGTCGACCATTCGCAATTCGAATTAATCCCAAGAAAAGCATAAAGGGGTAAAATAATGGCTAATCGATGTCGGAGCCCGAATTTTCCAAGGGAAAATCGCAAGTCGAGTGATAAAAGGCACATGTGGTTGATCGGCAGGTACTTTCAAGAGGAGACAGAGATGGCCGCGAGCAGCGGTTGCCGATCGATGAGCGGCACGCGGATGAGCCAGCTTGGGACCGGAACTGGAAGTGGAACGGGCGTCGGCGGGTGCAGGAACCGGAGCTACAGGTTCCGGAGCCCCGGGGCACCGCTCGACAGGGTGCAGGCCCTGTCCAGACATCCCGCCGAGCCGAGACTCACCATTATCGATTTCAATCAGCTGACAAGGGGCGGTTTGGAGCTGGCTACCAGCAAGAACAGGGCAAAGGTCACTCGAAAAGCCGCGAAATCGAATAGATAGCGAGCCTCTCTGCTTCGACGTGTCTTCTTACCCTCGTTCAACGGTAAAGTTCGGAATTAACCTTTGGAATTTATCAATTTGCGATTCGCGCTTTTCACTCTGGCGTGGAAAGGAGAAAGGGCAAGTGCTATCGATCAAAAATTCCTCGTCGAAGCTCTACGATAACGCGTGCTAGCTAGCCTTAAAGAATTTATCGTTCGATTGACGGAAGAAGGTGGCGAACGAAACCATGTGTAATCCGAACTCGACCGGTGATCGCATCGGTTTCGTGGAAAAGCTTCTTTGCAGGGCTGTGTGGGTTAACGATTATCACGATACACGCGCAAAATTGATGGACCGAGTGGTATGCCAAGACGCGTAATGCCATCGACGCGACTCAGTGATTCGAATCATAAAGGGGTTGGTTTATAGGGCTGCCACGTTCTTTTCTTACCGTACACGCGCCACTTTCTTTACGTAATTCCCGAAATGCTCCACCGATTCGTTCGCGGTAAACGATTTTTGCAGAACGTATTCGCATTTGCCTTCGACGTTTCGTACTGTTCGACGACTTAGAACTATCACAGTAAAACACACATGTAAATGCTAGGGAGAAAAGGAATAAAGTGCATGCACAATCGTTTCTACTGTCTGTTACATTGATCGGATGAAAACGGCACCCCCGAACGAGACGAATTTTCTGCCATCGTTCACGCGAATTTTCAAACGAGCTTTCAAAAGAGAATTTCAAAAGGAACCACGCGAATATATAGGTCTATATAGGTTAGAACGATGCGATAAACGTTAATCTCGTCCAAGGGGTTTCTCCACCTCATCCGCGTCGCTGAGGGGTTTGTGGAGAAAATCGGAAAGGGGGATAAGAGGAATGCGAAAGCTGTCGCTTTCGCGGGACACATAATAGAAATTTGTTCACGTACCTGAATGCGAGAATTACGTTTCCTAAAACTCAAGCAACCCGCGGGCTTGTTGCACGCGCATTGGATGGACAGAAGACGCAGGTACTACGCGGCCTGGTACTACACTTGGCCGGATACGGACCTAATAAAGGTACGCTAGCTGATCGCGGTTGTATCCGTGCATCGAGCATACGACAAACGAGAGATCCGATACAATGACCATCGAGCGTACGACTCGTCGATCACAACGAACCGATCAACGGATGATTTTTATCTTTTTCCCTTGTATGTATGTGTTTCTTTCTTTCCTTTTGTCTTTCCTTTCTATAAGTGACCAAATTATATATTCAAAGGACGTTGCCGTTGCACGCGCTCGCGCACGCTTCTGTGCCTTCGTGTACGTGTAATATGCGTGTACGTGTGAGTGTGTGTATGCGTGTATATGAGTGACGAGAGCCTGATCACATACATATACTTTCCACGTATACCACCGGCTGTATGACCGTGTCGCGCGCCACCTTTTTATATATTATTATACATGTGTCTGTGTATCTGTGTGCGTGCGCGCGCGTGTCTGTATGTATGTATATGTGTGTACAAACGTGTCAATCAATCGGAACTGAAGAATGAACTAAAACGGAAAGAAATGAAACTATAGCGAAAGAAGGGAGCAGACAAGCGGCCAGTAGCTCTTCTACTCCTGGGATCGAGACGGAACTGGCCCGTGGGCCGTTCCGCTCAACACCGCCTCGGTTCTTCTCCCTCTACGACCTACCCAGCCAACCCACCCCCCAAACCACCCCGCTGCAACCCACACAACTCCCTACCCTCCCGACGACTCCCCTTCCCGCCCCTCATCTAGTATCCAGCGCGACCACCGAGCCGCCCGGTACTTCGGGGTTGGATGATACTAGGGCGGTGGTCGTTGAACCAAGTATATAGACGAGCTGTCTGCGTCGTACCGGTTGCGCACAGACGCTCCTCCGTCTCTTTCTCTATCCCTTTTCCCATCCCGTCTCTTCCTTCTTCACCCTTTTCCTTCCCTACTCGTTTTCGCACTCTCGGCTCGCGATTTACGTTTCTCTATCTCTTCCTCCATACCCCTTCCTTCTCTTTCATTTATTTTCCCCTCTTTTTCCTCCCTTTGTCGCTTCCATCCTACTCCCTATCCACCATACCTCCCTCCCTTTTTTCTTTTCCGTTTATCATCTTTTTCTCCCGCCTCGACGTCCTTCGTTTTTCCCTTTTACAATTTTCTTCCTTTTCCGTCGTCGGTTCATATCCAGCATCTTTGTATCCCCTATTCCCTTTCGTTTCTTCCGGTATCCGATTATCCTCGAGCTGCTTTTTCTCTCGCTCGTTTTCTCCTCTCCTATTCGCATCCCGTACATGCCTTACGCTCTCTCGATCAAGCGTATACACGCTCGGACTTTCCTCGTCTTTTTCTCCGTCGTATACTCTCGCGGCTGTAAAACACATCCCCAGGTGATACTGGCGACCTCTACCAAGTCGAGTAAACACGAGCGAACTGCGACTCACAAATACGTTCGCGACCAATAATGGAGTATCTCTGGAATCGTATGCCGGGGTTCGGCAGACCCTCCGCAAACAAACCCCGCTGCTTGATTTTCTATCACTCGTGACGTTATCGTATACCTGATAAACAGTGTACTACGTATTATCACGCCGGCCTCCCGCAAGTCGTGACGTAATTGAAAAATTTCCTAACTTACTGTGGAAACATTTGAACGAAATGTGAATTCGAATCATTGAGCATTATACTTAGTTGATTAGCCAGGCGTCTGAAAGGTTCCTTCGAAGTGCAATCTAGTCCAGAAACCTAAATATTATATGCCATGTAATATAACGTTCCTGGATTGTTTTTATAAATAATAGTACAAGTATTTACGATGTTTCTGCAATCTGTATTTCGAGAGATATTTAAAAGAATATCTAAACGCAATTACAGGTTTGTAAATCTGTGCAATTTAAAAGGACCGAGGTAAACTTTATCCGTCACTGATGCATGCATCAGGCATCCTGTGCAACAGCAACGACCACTGGCAACCACCTATGGAATCGAGTAAACCCGAATTTCGACGAAGTCGCACGATCTGAATAAGTACGACATGGGCGGAAACCGACCCCGATAGCACAAACTTAACCCTTTTCACAGATACTTGTTACATCTTAAATACTATGATTTGAACGTTTCGCAAAAAAATTATTCATCGTTCAAAATCCTAGTTTAATATTTGTATGAACAAAACGAATATTGCAAATATACGTTATAAATGTAAAAACTTTAATTCGCGGAACCTATCCAACGCACATTTCGTGCTATAAGTAAAATTAATAGAATTACGACTAATTACGAAAACTGATTGTTTTATTATCATGAAGCTATCATTTCTGAACTAGAAATCGTTTCTAGATTAAAAATAACATTAGTATGGCTAAATTGTCGCCCAACTACTCGTTCCAGTAACAAAGAATTGCTTTTTGTTTATCATGAATGGAAATAACTTTTTGAATTTCAAATAATCAGTGACAAGTGACTTAAATATACATTACACTTGTATGAAATTTTTCTGTCTGTACTTACCGAATACAGTCACGTTATCCATTTTTTTGAAGATCGATTTGTTACCTTCCTTAAATGGATGATAGGTTGATGATTTAAACACTTTTTTACTATTTGTCTGATTATGTATAACAATGATAGACTTTGATTTATGGCACTGATACATTGAACGTTAAATTGTTTAACACACGGTTTGAGGTTATATTTTACAAAATTATTTACACCACTATTGCACAATAAACATACATTACGATATTTAAAATTTATTCGTAAATTAAAGGAACATGTTGAATACACTTTCCTCTATCTATCTGACAAATATAATCGTCGAAGATTTTAAAACATAATTATATTTGAGCACGATGATACATTATTGACAATGTTTTTTGTCCGAATATTAGTCTTTTTAATTTCCTTTTATTGATTATTCTATTAAGACAGCGATGCCCTTTACAAAAACTAGCCACCCTTCTATATACACGAGTAAAAGAATAACTTTTATGAAATATGATGCATCGTATTACAACAGTTAACAGAACAAATGATCGAACTTTGCATAAATGACCACAACGAAAAAATATAAGGACAAAGATGAAAGCTGCTACTTTGTTGATACATTTTTTATTCACATCATATTTATCATAAAAAGAATAATCAAACTTGGAAAAGAATTGAAAATTTTAATTTATTCA